ATTGCTCTCGTTTCTTCTTTGCTGCTCGTAATAAAAGAATCTTCAGTTTTCAGTTGTAGGAATGATCCAAATATATGTATATATACATGTGTGTGTATATATATATATATGTATATATATATAATATACTTTTTTTGGTTTTAACGAGAGAAAAGAACTTTCTTCTTCCCAAAATACAATTCGGTTTGTGACGGCGACGTTTATTCATTCATGTTGTTTTGGTGGCACGAGTCGTTGACGAGCTCCTAAAACAAAAAAAAAATCACTCCGTTGAATCCAATAATTTACCTGTTCAATTACCATCAGCTACGCATGACACTTATAACACAATCAAATTCACATTCGGCTACTTACATTCGTGTTGCTCTCCATGGCTTCGTTAACTGCTGCTGCAACGGCCTTCTCATTTATGTCAATCTCTTCGATAGCCTGAAAAAATAATAAATTTTCTATATGATCAGGAATCAGTGTGTCGTCAGTAGGCTAGGTGTGGCCTGTGCCTACTATCCACATGAAAGTAGAAAAAGAGAGTCAGATGGCCCCTCGCTCTATGGTCATCGTGTGTCCTAAATGAAGGATTTCAGAACTACAAATGCTCGGCGAGCATAGGTAGTCATCGGGCGATCATCATTCTCGTTATCTTCTTTACAATTATTTTCCTGATTTTTTTTTTCTAAGGATAACTGACCTTGGTCACCGAAGCGACGTCTTCAGTAATGGCGGGCGCAGGTGCGAGTACAGGTGCAGGTGTGGGTGCAACTACTGGTGCTGGTGCTGGCGCAGAGACAGGAGCTGCAGGAGCTGCAGGAGCTGCAGGAGCTTGCGAAACCTCGATTGGAACCGCAGGAGGTGGACTGGTTGGAGCATCATCGACACTTTCCGTCGTGCTAGTTTCGTTTGCGCTAGGCTTTGTCGCTTCCTTCTCGGCAACCTCTGGCTCCGGAGTGCCCTGAAAGAAGTAGAGCAAGATCCTCTCGTTAGATAAACGGCATCGGTCGACACGTCATGACCCATACAGACCAACCCCAACATGCGCCATACAAAGATGAGCGACATTCAACCGAATCCTGTCGAAGAATTGCGTGGCCGTTTCGTCACGCAACCTTCAAAAGAATCGTTTGACATGCTCCGAGCACTCTGAAGATATAATCCCTCTTGGATAAGCCAGAAGATCTTCTGTTATTGGCCCTTTTGGACAAGACAATTGGCATGCGGCATACGAGATGCTTACGAGATGCTTACGAGATGCATTACGGGATTAGGATATTGACCCGTGCGAGATATCTCCCTTGCGGAATCTAGAACAACGTACAGGCTTTGCCTGCTGTGGCTAATACATGGCCAACTATGCGCGTACAAAGTTATATAGATGCAGAACGTTTATAAGAATAATCAATAAGAATATATCGATAATTATGAATAAGTCTATAGGTACGTCTATCAATGAGATTCTCTCTAGCAGTATACTGTGACGAACGTCTATGTTATATTAGTTGGCAGCGATTCGTCCAAGACAGAGATATAGCTGCTCTACTTGAAATGACAGGTGGTGAACCATTTTATTAGCTCGACTAGGGCCAGCTACGTGGCCACTAGCTGTGCGGCCAATTCGCTATTAAAATCGTGTTAATGTTTAAAGAAAACCAAGAGGCAAACAACACAGGGCTGGTGTAATCAGGGATATCGAGTAATCGAGACGTGTTAATTGGGATTGGTAACTCCACGGGAAACGATGACACTTAAAAAAGAGCTTTAAGAGACAGACAGGTAGAGATAAAGAGACAGAAGAAGAGTGGAAGAAGAGAGTAAAGAAAAAGATAGAGACAAGAGATACCCTGGGAGGAAGCCGGACGTTGGACACGATGCAACCGAATGTATGGTTCGCTTCTTCCTTTCTTGGGAAATTTTTTTTTAAGGCGGAAGCTGGAAACAATTTTTCTGATACCGATAACAAGATCCGCGAACGACGTCCGGCTCACGGACGTGCCCGCCCTCCGTGTGAGTTTCAAATGATTAAGGATTTGCGAGTACGATACGGCAAGGAAGCTCATGAACCAAGGAGAGGAAGTTATATTGGGAGAATTGGAAGGTTTCAGAATATTGGTAATGATGGGAATACGGAATGGTTCAAGATGAACTGAGTCACGGGGACGTTGAACGTTTCGGGCTACCACAGAGACAGTTTGCAGATCGTATGACGAAATATTTGGACTTGGCCGCCTGATTCATGCCAGGAGTTGCATGTTAGTCACCTGCTCGTTCTCCGGGACTGCAATCGATGAGGCTTTCGAGAAAGGACAAACGGGGGTGGTGCTTTCCTCCCCGCCGTTCATTCCCTTGGACTGGGCTAATCTCTCCTTCAATTCAATATCCGACACATCGCACGATTCCACCTTGAAATCTTGAGTATTCTCCTCAGCGATCGGTGCTGCTTGTGTTTCCCACTCTGTCTTAGAGGCATCCGCGAGTGGGAAATTTGGACTTGGAGTGGCGAGAGTGTCTAGATTAGGAATGGATTTGGGACTTCTAGGAGGAGTCGGCAGAGTGTTCTCCCTCGCGACTTCTTCCTCCTCTTTCATTTTCCCCACTATCGGCATTCCAGACGCGTCTAATTCAACTGGAATTTCTGTAGCATTACTTAAAACTGGTATAGAGGGAATTTCGGTGTCGACGGGTGCAGGAGGATATTCAGGTAATTTATCCAGAACTTCTTGAGGGATTGGCTGATCCTCGAGCAGGTCGAGTTTACCCTCGACTGACGGAGGACAAGCAGGACATACTGGAAGGTTTTCGATTGGCGTTCTAGGACTTGTGACATCCTGGCACGGAATTGGACAAACAAGAGGAATTTCATGCCTTGCAGAAGTAACATCCTGAGAGATATCTCCAGATAAAGGATATTCCGTAAGTTCCAAGACATTCTTCGATGGCAATAGACAGGGCGTCATTTCTTTCTCGACTTCCTGATTGTGAGGATTTGATGATTCGATCAATTCATCTGGAAGCTCGTTAGGAACGAAGCTTTTCAATGTTGGTTCCAAAACCGGAACAGGGGAGTCCGGCAGAGGGGGAGGAACATCATCCTCAACGACATCCTTAGTTGACATGATCGGCGCACTTATGGTTTCTTTAAGGTACTCGACACTCGGTGGTAATGGACACGCCACTTCAGATTCGACCTCTACTACTTGTCTCTTACATACATCCAGGATTACCTCGAGAGGTTCTTCGTGTTTCTCGAGGAAACTTGGCTCTTCTTCCAGATTCTTCTGAGCAACCTCCGAAACGAGGTGGTGTTCCGGAATAACGATAGTTGGTTTAGCCTCAACAATTAACTCTCCTGAAATTGGCAGAGGACCTTCCTCTGACTGAATTACTAAATCTCCTCTGGAGTCAATAGATTCTTTCGACTGAATTTTTCCCGGAGCTGGAGATGAAAGGGACTCTTCATTAAAAATCAATTGGAGCTCCTGTTTGATTGCCTCCGTCAACTTATCTTTCTCATCCTGACGCTCTATCATGGCCAATTCTTTTTCTTCATCCGTGAGGCTCTTAGCAACGAGAGGCTCAGATTCGTCCGGGAACGTGGCTAGGATCTCGGTTTGTTTGTCCGTCAAGGAGGAAACAATGCTTTTGGATGCCTCTGGAGAAATCCCGTCTGTTCCGTTTTCAGACACGTTCGGAAGTTCCTCGAGAGAAGTGATTTCCTCGGCATGGTAGAATTCCGACGAGTTCTCGGACGGTACCGGTGCGCGATCACCGGCATGCACGGAGGAGGATGTGGCTAAGGGGGAATCAGTGATAGTAGTGGCGATGGTGGTGCCCGAGCGCGTATTCAATGTGGAAAGATCAAGGGGACTAGTGATGATGGTGGTGGTGGTGGTGGTGGTGGTGGTGGTGGTGGTGTCAATGATAGTGTCGCTAGTAACTAGAGTAGTATCCTCATGTGCAGCCTCGGCAGGCAGTTTGAGCGCCTCGGCGATGGCCGAGGCGTTTGCTGCAACTTGCTGAGCCTGCTGCAGGGGCGAGGGGTCTATCGGGGTCGGAGGAGGACTCGAAGGAAGCAGGGACGGGATATCCTCACTGGTTTTCCTCTCAATGATAGACGGCGTCGCGATTGGTTGAGCACGGGAGACTTCTACCGGGGCAATGGTCTGCACTGGACTGACCTCGACTTTCTCAGCGGCCACAATCTCGACTTTTTCGATTTCCTCTTTCTTTTCCTCGACAGGGACAGGAGTAGGAGCACTGGGACTGGATTCCTCTTTCTTTTCCACGGTGGAAAAGCTTTCGCCACTAGGAACGCTAGGGGCCGTCGGCGTCGCCGTCGCTGCAGGCTTCTCTTCTTCCTTCTTCGATTCGACTGTCGCGTTTGCGCTTTCAGATACCGGCAATTTTCCTGCAACTTCATCAGCTGGTGCTGCTGCCTCTGCTACTGCTGGTGCAGAATCATCAGCCTCTGGGGCGACTGAACTGCTCACAGCGGACTTTTCTTCGGTAGGACTGCTCGCAGCTGCAGCTGCACCCTCGACTTCCTCGCCACTCTAAAAACAAAGACCAATGTGTGAGTTCAAAGGCACAATTTCTTCGGATGAATATTCATTTTTATGAGGAGTATCTCTGCTGACGCGATAATCTTCCTGATTCTATACTGTTCCTCTCTCTCTTACAGTGGGAAAGAAGTCACTAGGCAGAACACGAGTAAATGACTGATTGTGAGTGACCTCACGGGAGTAAAAGAGAAGAGAGCAGAGAAAAGCAGTTCACAGGCACGCCAAAAACGTTAGTTCAGTCAAGCGTGATATTATTTTTTGTCTGACATGGGGGGTAGGGGTT